AGGATCGGAACCGCTATTAACAGACAAACTCAGATGAAAGTGCTTTTTGATAAGTCGAGGAATAAGGGCTGTAGGAATGGCAAGAATATGACCGTTCATTTGAAATGCAATCATTTCGGTAATCATAGAAATCGTATGAAATTCTCACAAAAATAACAATCAATTTATGTATTGAAAAGAGTGCGGAAAGACGGCAATACTTATGAGACGAAAGCGTCGCCGGCGTATAGTTGGGGGAAAGGAGTCAAACCCGGGTCAGTGGCCATGGCTGGTGGCCCTTCACGGCGGCCCAGAAGAGGTGTTCTTCTGCGGCGCTGTATTGATATCCGAGAGGTGGGTCCTGACGGCCGCCCACTGTATTGGAAAGTATGTTCAATTGGAGCAGAATTTAGACGTTATTTAATTTAATCATTGAATGGCAGCCAAACCGATGTGAAGGGCTGGACAGTGAACTTAGGGGTCACCCGACGGACTGCATCGCCATTCTCCGTACGAAAGCGCAAAGTATTGCATCTCTTAAAGCACCCGGGCTTTAATCCCAGCGCTAACATGTATTCAAGTGATGTCGCACTCATACTACTGGACACAGCCGTGGACTTCGACGAGTTTCTGCGACCCGTTTGTCTGCCTCCCAGTCCTCAAACACGTCTTACAACAGGTACTCAACCGATAAAATATTTCAGTTATTAAATAAGAGATTAAATAATTTATATAAACTATTACAATGATACTTTGCGTGCAATATGATCAGGCACATTATGCACAGTGATTGGTTGGGGCAAAAAAATTCACGACGACGACGCCGACTATCTATCGGCCATACATGAAGTGGACGTACCTATAGTTGACCACAACATGTGTAGGGAATGGTATGAGAAACAGGATGTCGTTATACCGGACACAATGCTATGCGCCGGCTATGAGTTGGGTCGGAAAGACGCCTGGTACAATTTTAATTAAAATCACTCATTCAAGTATCTTGCTCATTTAAAAATATCAATTTAATTTTTAAGTCAGGGCGACAGCGGGGGCCCATTGCTCTGTAGGGACAGTCATCACAATTGGTTTGTGGCCGGAGTGGTCAGTTGGGGTATTAACTGCGCTCAGCCTCAACTGCCAGGTAATTTAAATTTACCTGGATATTTTAATTTAAATCAATAAATTATGAATAAAATCAATAAACTTAATACACTATAAAATCTAAAGAATTTGTATACAATTCTAAAAAATGCTTATTTCATAGGAATCTATACAAACGTTCCGATGTTTATGGACTGGATTGAAGGTATGGCCCAACAAATGGGTTATCCATTAAGAATTCATTAAATGATATATTGTTTACGTAATAATGAAACCCAAAATAACAATTTATTATATAATATAAATATTTGAAGAAACTTATATATAAATTCATTGTAAAAATTATCATAAAATAATATTTGTTAGCATTTTATCGCATTATATACAGAATGTATCAAATTAACCAATTTTTGTGTATAAATATTATTAATATTTGACGACCTATTTATAGACATATTATATATTTGCATATCAAACAGGCCTGACATGAGCACAGGTGTGAAATAACAAGATAGAATATACAGTATTTATAAATTATCTACCGGTGCCTAATGTCTCAAATTTAATTCCAAACATTCATATATTCTTATTGAGTATAAAAGTATTGTCTCTGAGCTTAACACTCATGAAAATATGATTTTAAGATCTTATAATATAGTAAAATATTGTGTTTTAATAATATTTTGTAGAAATTATTTGTAATTGAGATAGAATTGTATAATAATAATGATATTGTAAACACTTATTACTGACAATCACACAGAAAATAATTTAAATCACATTTAATTGAAACATATAGACCATCAATATTTGTGTAAATTAACATTTGTAAAATAAGTAAATAGGTTACAATTTTGTGTTGTTTACTGTTAAAATGATTAAAATTTCAATTGACATACACTTTCAAATTTTAAAACATATCAATTCAATTTTTACAATTACCAGTATGATAGTATAAGTTAGTAGATCTTTATGTAAAAATAAATATATTGTAAATTTCGTTAAAAATTAACATTAATTTGTCATTTTTTGATAAAGTTGTCATGTTTACAGCATCGGATTAATGTAAGTGGTTAGCAACTTGGTCAATTTTTGAGACAATACATGTAAATATTGGATAAATATTGAGGAAAAATTAAATCTTAAATTTTTGTATATAATACTGTATACAGTATGTTTAGATCCAAATGATTTATTCCTTGGTTATTTAGGAAAAACTTAATTCTACAATAAAGATAAAGTGAAGTCAAATGAGTTGTGAAATTAAATGATTAATTCTAAAGAATCCATTGAAATAAACTGAATGGCATTTTAATCAATTAATTCCTTAATTACCCAAAAGTTTTATTCTATGGGTATTCAATAAAATTAATTGAAAATCTCTTTGGGATATTATTTGATATATTTTCATCTGAAATCTAAATTTAAACAAATTAGTGATAAATCAAAGGTTAATATTAAAAATAGAACAAATAGTGCATATAAAAATATTTATACTGTACAATATACATGTATAAAAATATATTACCTATATCATATATTTAAGTTTCAAGAATTCTAAAAATAGTTTTTCGTAAAATTAATAAAAATTATTTTTACATATTAGTTTATAGTACCGTATATTAAATTACGGTGGTATATTAAAATTAAATTATAATACTGAATTCAATTGATAAAATTATTTTAAAATACTTAAAATGTATAAAATTCAAATGGAATTTAGTTTTTATTAAAATTATTTTTCAAAATCATACAGAATGTTATAATTATATACTAGTAGTTTAAATATTGCCCTTTAAGACCAAATATCCATTTAATTAAATTCAGTATTCCTAAGGCTTCAGCAGAATAATGCAAAACCAATCATATTTATAAGCTTAACTAAAATGAAATAAATTTAATTAAAATTA